GTAAGATAGAATAGTAATTTGAAGGCTTAGGAATAACTCGTGGCACGTTCGAGGATGAACATATGTTTAAGTATGGGAGAATGTAATGACCCGACCGTTCGTTTTGAGCATTTACGCCCCTTTTAACTATTTAAAGTCTTGAATAGCTACATATGATGTATTATGACATGTATGAATCATCGGTTTTGTTTTCAGGTGTTTCGGAACATGTTAGGAAGACTGAATTCCATGTTGGAAGCCTTAAGTTGAAAGAGTTGACCAAATTTGACTTTTTATTATTAGATGTCGGATTGGAGTTTTGATAATTTCTTTAGACCCGGATGGTGATTTTGGACTTGGGTGTATGCTCGGAGTTTAATTTGGATATTTCTAGAATGTTTCAATGTCATTTCTTCAAGGATAAATGGTACCACGTTAAGCAATTGAGCTTTAAATTCATTTTTATTGAACCATTAGATCCATATTGAAATTACGGAGCCATAGCAAAATGAATCATCGAATTCGGACATCGTATGAGAGTGTTATGCCCATTTCCCTGTCGGAGAAGATTTTTGTTTTTCTGGGGCAGAGGCAAATTGCAGGTGTCAAATGCGACTTGCCTAGACAGATTCTAAAATAAGGGTTTCGGCCATTTTTAACACATTTGGAGCTATGGAGCTCGGATTGAAGTGATGTTTGAGGCAATTTTTACCATATGGATTGGGATAAGTGATTCTAACTCGGTTTTGCTTCAATTACACAAATCTATTGTTGTTTTTATCAACAAATTAGTGTTTTGGGTAGAAAATGGTAGAAAACTTCATAGACTTTAATTGAGGATTTGAAGGCCGAGTTTTGGTCGAATTTGAGTAATTTTGGTATGGTTGGACTCGTGGTTGAATGGGAGTTCGGATTTTGTATTTTTTGTCAGATTCCGAGATGTGGGTCCCACCATTGACTTTTGGTTGACTTTTCGAACGGAGTTGGAAATTTTTATAAATTGTTAAATTGTAAGTCTTGGAGTATATTTTGATTAATTTGCATATTGTTTGAGTAGTTTCGGATCGTTTGGCTTGGAATTGAGGAGATATGAAGGCGTTTAGAGGTTGATACGCGCGAAATGGAATTTTCGGAGTATTGTTTAGCTTGCTCGACATTCGGCTTGTTCGAGGTAAGTAACATTTTTAAACTTGGATATGAGGGTATAAACCCTAAATATATATTTTATGTGATTTGTTTGGAGGTGGCGCACATGTTAAGTAACGGGCGTGTGGGCGTGCACCGTAAAAATTGTGATTCAGTCGATTCAATAGAGCTATGTAGTCAAGTAACTTGTTATTTTTCATGTATTTTTCCATGTGTTAGAGAAATTGAGCTGTAACTCATGTTAGAAATTATGCTTAGATTTTTTGTTGGTATTATTGGGACCCACTGAGGTTATTTTTGTTGTTGAGTTATTTGCTTAAATTGAAATTACATACTTAATGATATTCATTCATTTCATATCATATCTCAGTCTCTGTTGCTATTCATTGATATACCATATCATCATTATTGGGCTGATTCTCACGACATTGTGAGCCCGAGAGACTGGAGAGATTGGTGACTAGTGTGGCCGAGGGCCTGATTGTGAGGATATTTATGGGATCGGGCTGCACGCCGCAATAGACTGGATTGGCTTATTATAGCGCTTGAGCTGAAGGAGCCCCTCCGGAGTCTGTACCCCACACAGTGAGCGCAGTGGATATTATATTTGGGATGAAGTTCCCTGGGCATAGAGTTGCCATATATATATATATTCACTTTTGGGATGGAGTTTCTTGGGCATGGAGTTGCCCTATACATTATATTTGGGATGGAGTTCCCTGGGCATGGAGTTTCCCTATACATTTATATTTGGGATGGAGTTCCCTGGGCTGGATTGGCCATGTACAGTATTGAGTGACTGAATATCAGTTATTATGTATATGTATTTGGGATGGATCTTCCCTGGGCTGGATTGGCCATATACAGTACTAGGTGACTGTGTGCGAGTTGTCATTTATATTTGGGCTGGATCTGCCTTGTACAGTGTCGAGTGACTGAGTGTGCTGAATATAGAGCGTTCTTAATGAAAATGCGAGACGGTGAGATTGAGTACTCTGAGGGAGTGAGTACACGAGTTCATCACGGTGATGCATTGCATTAGACATGCATACTTGATATGTAGGCATAGAGAAGTATTTTCCTCATGCCATCTGATAATGAAATTTCTTATCTATTGTTAAAGTTTTGAGAAAAATCACAGATTTCAGACTTACTCATATTTTCGGCAAAAGAGTTGAGTTTTACTGTTATACATGAAAAGAAAATATTTATTTTCCGGAATTGTATACGAGTTGAGCATTTTATTATTGAGTTATTACTTGTGCTGCTTTAAATTGTATTATTATGAGATTTTATTGGTTATTGGTGTAGACTCTGACTTTGGTACAAGCTCGTCACTACTTTCAACCTAATGTTAGGTTTGTTACTTATTGAGTACATGGGGTCGGTTGTACTCATACTACACTTCTGCACCTTGCGTGCAAATTTTGGATGTTGATGCGATCTAGCATTGAAGATGTACCTGCGATCCAGTCACAGCTGCCTCTTTTTCTAGGTAGCTTTAGAACTTTAAATCTGTTCATGCATATTTCAAACAGATGACATATATTTATTTCACACCAGCTTTGTAAATTCTAATCTTAGAAGCTCATAATTTGTACTACTAGTCCTTGGGTCGTGACAGTCTGGCAATAACCCTTCCCTTGGAATCTCATGCCAAAACATTTACCCATTATTATATTTATGACTAATGTGCTTATCAATTCAATTATATATATATATATATATATATATATATATATATATGTCACTTTGATGTTGGTAATCTAACACATTCAATCTCTAGCCTATTTGATTTTCTCCAATATCATGTCTATATTTCCATGTCAATAGTCATGTGAATACTATGCAAATATACCACAAATAAACACCGTAGACACAATGTTATCACATGACTTAAAGTATTGGTGTGACAGAACATTATTTTTGCTAATCTTTTACATGTTCTTACTTCCTTTATGTTTCATATCACAAAGTTACTCTTGAAACTTTAATATTTTGATATTCTTTTTCCTAGTGAACGTTTGGCATAATTGTAATACTAAGATTTGAATTTGTAGTACTTTTGAGCATTCTGTTGCATACAAGTATTAAACTAAGAGTAAATACAACAAATGGGCTTGCAACTGTTGATAGATTTGCAATAATTAATATGACCATTAAAAGTGACAATACTTCTTTAACTCTTGTTATATTATAACAGAATATGCTTGTACCTACCATCAAAAGTGATAATATTTTCATGGGCTCGCTATGGTTACTTATTGAAGATAAGTTACAAAATTATTTCAACTACTATATATTTCGGAATTACTCAAGAAGTAGCAATATTTTGAAAGAGGTTTTGACACATCAGGTTCCTTATGTATGATGATTATAAGATATTGGTTTCAAGTCCCAACACATTATGGTTTAACACGTCTTTATATGGGTAAGATATTAGGTTCACGTCCCAATGCATCATATTAATAATATAATGATGTAACGACCCGAATGGTTATTTTGAGAGTATTAGCCCCGAACCCCTAATTATTGCTTCCTCTATTTAATTTTTGAATTTTGTGACTTGCCGGGAAGTTTTGTTTTTGATTTCGGAGTGAAATGGGACACATAGTCCCTGAAATGGAAGTTTAAGTCGAAGGAATCGATCATAGTTTGAATTGTGTGAAAAGGACTCCAGAATGGATTTTCTCAGTTCCAATAGCTCTGTATGGTAATTTTTATCTTATGAGAGTGTTCGGATGTTGAATTGGAGGTCCATAGGTCATTTTAACGTCAACTGGCGAAAGTTGGAAATTCAATAATTTTTGGGAAGTTTCATCGGGAGTGAACTTTTTGATATCGGGGTCGGATTTCAATTCCGGAAGTTAGAGTAGGTCCATAATGTCAATTATGACTTGTGTAAAAAATTTGAGGTCAATCGGATTTGACTTGATAGGTTTCGACATCAGATGTAGAAGTTTGAAGTTTTAAAGTTCATTAGGCTTGAATCGATGCACGATTTGTGTTTCTAGCGTTGTTTGATGTGATTTAAAGGCTCGACTAAGTCCGTATGATATTTAGGACTTGTTGGTATGTTTGGTTAAGGTCCCGGTGGCGGCCGGATTCTGGATGGCTAATGGATCGAAAAAGAAACTTTGTGCATGGCTGAAGCAGGACTCTGCTGGTGTAACCACACCTGCAGAACTTTGATCGTAGGTGCGAGATCGTGTTGAGAAAATGCGAAGGTTTGGACTGAGGGCTATGGAGCGCAGATGCGGAGGGTGTTCCGTAGGTGACGACTCTCATGTGTGCTTGCATATGCAAGCTGTAAGCACGTAATTTTTGACCCGCACATTAGAATTATATTTAGTTGTCTTAGTATTTTTAGAATATTTATCTGAGTTTATTTCTATAGGATTTCACTCTATTATTAATTTTAATTCTAGTTTTTAAAGCATAAAAATTGAAAACTACAAAAATAGTTTCATCTTCAAAATATTTCTCATTTTATACATATATTTATTTAATGTCATTAGTTTCTTTTTGTAGTGAATTTTGCTATGGTTTTAATCTATCTTTTCTATTGTTACCTTAATATAATCTTTGGAAAAATACGAAAAAATAAAATAAAAAAGGGATTGGCTTCACTTTTAATTTTAGTTCGGTTAAAGTCAATTAATATTTTATTATTTTCAAAAAGAGAATGGATTTTGGGTTGATTCTTGTCTTAAAAGTTCCAATTTTTGCCCAACTCCATCTAACATAGGCCCAAATTCGGCCAGCACTGTTCCATTAGCCTACTTTCCACTTAAATGCAAGATTAAATCTTGGCCACTCATTATGTTTAATCCAATGTCCAATACTTACTCCCCACCACCATATAAAAACCAAATTAACATCTAAAACCCTAGGGGGGACTTTGGGGGAGCAGCAAGGCAGAGAACGGACTACCCTAGGACAACCGCCTCCCCCTCCTGAACTTTTTGATCTTCTTTCTTTGAATCTCTAAGGGACCAGCAGAGAATTCACCTGAACATAGGGAAAAGAGTGACGAGAGGGAGAGAAATAGAGGGAACGATATAGTGAGAACGAGAGTGAGAAGGGAACGACCAGAATTTCATTAAAAGAAATGGAAAAACGCTACAGAGAGGCTACGTGAGTTTGATCACGCACTAAAAAAGACGAACGGAAGTACTGTCCTTCAAATTTTGGTTTTAAAAATGGAGGTCACCCGAGGTTGTGTTTGATTCGAGGTTTCCGGTCCGGGTTCGTGAGCTTGAAGCAACCGTTGATGTGCACTTGATTTGGATCTCTATTGTTTAATATTTAATATAAAAGGAAGATTCGTCAAAGGTTTATTCCTTCCCTTTCCTCTGTTTTTTGATTTATCTCCCGTGAGTTGTTTGTGTTTGTTTGCAATCCATGCTTTAATTGTCATTTTGTGAATGACTTGCAAATTTACGTGTGTATTGAATCTTGGGAATACATGTTGACATGTTAGTAGAATGGAGACAGTAGGTGCCCGTAGAGGACATTTCCGATTAAATGAACTTGGGCCATGGGAGTTCGAACAGAATGTTAGACTTTGGATATTTTTTCTTCTTGTCATTTTATTTTATTTAATTGGATCGCTAGGAGTATGTTAGGCCGATAACACCTGGGTAGGCAAATTTTAGGACTTTATATTTTATTTGAGGTTAGAGGTTGTCTCGTAGTTTATTATTTTATCCGGGGTATGCCCCGTAATGAATGTAATTGGAGGCCGTGACAGACATCGTGGAGTGAGCATAGTATAGACTTTTAGTATTTTCCTCTTATTTTATTTTTTTTATTAGGTGGGGACGACCTCGAACCTCTTTTGTGTTGATTTTTGCTTTTGTGTGTTTCTGCCTCAATCTGAGTATTCTTTAAAGCCAACTAAATCGTGTATGCAACCGTGACTTTCACGGGACTTGGGGAATGCCTAACACCTTCTCCCCGAGTCAAATGAACCCCATTACCTATAATTTCTGGTGCAGTCAGTTTTAGAGTCAAATGTGTTTTGAAGAAAAATTATTATTTTAAAAATGGTGACCTGGCACACCGAAACCAAATATCAGGTGGCGACTCTGAAAATCCTTCGAAACGCAATCTTTTTGTCACTTTCATGATTGAAAACCCTTTTGTGCTTTAAAACTACTTTATCCTTTAAAGAGGGTTAAGTGAAGTGAAAAAGGGGTGTGACACAAGCCACTCTCATAGCTAGGACCTCCCATGTAGTAGCTTTCTTCTCAAAAATCCGAGAATTCCTTTCAATCCATAGTGTATGACTATACTGTGCATAAACTAGCTTAAAAACTCTTGCCAGCTGAGATCTGCCCTTTGTTTTTATAACTATCCATTGATGATTTGTTACCCATGATTCTATAGGAGAATATTGAATGTGCAGCCAGTTCATGAGTTTGTGCTATAGGTATTTGCCATATTCACATTCATCAAATAAGTGGTCTCGCGTCTCTGGCTCTTGATGGCAAAAACAACAAGTGTCTTCTATCTGCATTCCCCATTTCTTTAGTCTATAAGCTGTTAATACTCTTCCCTGCACCTGAAGCCACATGGTGAAGATGACTTTTGGTGTTGCCTGGTTTTGACACATCAATCCTTCCCATGGAACTTTTGGTAATATGCCTAGTTGCTGTAGGTACACTTGCTTTGTAACTGTGCCTTGTGACAAGTTGTTAATACTGTGCAATCTGTCCCTTGCCTCAAACACCTTTCGAACCATCCAACATGCTTGCTTTGGTACTCCTATATCCATAAACTCTTGCTCTTTGATGTAGTAACTATGAATCCATCTGATCCATAACTTATCCTTCTTGTTAGCCAACTCCCAACAGGTCTTAGTAATAGCAACTTTGTTCCACATAGCCAAGTTGATCAAGTTCAATCCTCCAGCAGCTTTTGGAGAGCATATCCTATCCCATGTCACGAAAGACTTTTTAGTTATTGTATTCACCCCAGACCATATATAACTTCTATAGTGTGCTTCAATTACTTTGATGACTTTAGCTGGTATAATAAAGATTTGAGCCCAATAGGCTTGAGTGCCAAAGATAACTGTTTGGACTAACTGAATTCTGCCTGCATAGGACAGTTTCTTTGATGTCGATGAAGAAATCTTGCTCACAATTTTGGCAATAAGGGGTTGCCACTGCAGCACCGAAAGCTTCTTCGTATCAAGAGGTATGCACAAGTATTTGAAAGGAAGCACTCCTTGACTCTACCCTAGAGCTTGCTGGATCTCATGTTTCATTTCATTGTTAACTCCTCCATAATATATTGATCTTTTGGCTAGATTTGCTTTAAGGCCTGAGGCTTCTGTAAAAGTGTTAAACGTTTGATGCAATAGGACAACAGATGTAGTATCCCCTCTTGTGAACAAAAGAAGATCATCAGCAAAGCTCAAGTGAGTAAGGTCCAATCTAGAACACATAGGATGATAATGGAAGGTTTTCTCTCGCTTGAGTGTCTTCAGATTCCTACTCAGATACTCCATTGCTATGCCAAAGAGGAATGGGGACATAGGATCTCCTTGTCTAAACCCTCTAGCTGCATCAAATGGCTTAGTTGTCTCTCCTTTGATAAGAATGCTATAGTTCACTATTGACACACACTGTATGATCTAGTTGGTAAATTGCAGTGGAAATCCTAGACATTCTAATATTTGGTGCAAGCACCTCCAGTCAACTGTATCATAGGCTTTCTGTATGTCCACTTTAATGAGGCATCTTGGAGAAATATTCTTCCTTGAGTTAGCCTTAACTAACTCATGGGCCAATAGGATATTGTCTGCTACTTTCCTGCCAGGAATGAAGCCAGCTCGGGTGTCTGACACAACTGATGCAATAACTCTTTGGAGTTTGTTTGCAAGAATTTTGGCAATTAATTTGTACAGAACAATGCATCAAGCTATAGGTCTATACTCCTTGATACTTGTAGGATGGGGAACCTTAGGAATCAAGGTGATGGCTTTGCAATTGATTGCTCTTAAAAGCTTGCTCGTTTGAAAGAAATCCATCACAACATGTCACAATTCTGGTCTGATCAATGCCCAAGTTCTTTTGAAAAATAATGCATTGTAGCCATCAACACTGGTGCTTTATCATCTCCAATTGCACACAATGCTTCAAATATTTCTTGTTCAGTGACCTCAGCACAGAGGCTCACTTGCTGAGAATTATAGAGGCAATTATTTCATCCTAGATCTGTTTCTGGTCAATGAGTCTATCTCCAAAGGCATTAGTAAGTTCAACACTAACTTTTTTATGACTCCACTCCTTCATAACATCTGAGAAGTTTTTTGTGTTAGAGTCACCAAGCTTTATCCACTTAGCTCTGGATTTCTGCTGAAGGATGCTTTCCTCTATTACTGACCACCTTTCCTGCTCTTCAAGTAATGTTTTCTCCTCTAATGCAACTGCATCATTATAGCCTCTACTCAGTATCTCTTGGGAATCCTGAAGCTTGTTTATGATATGCTCTATTTTAGATGTAACTCCTTTGAACTCATTGTTATTAAGTTGCTTCAATTCAGACCTGAGAACCTTCAGCTTACACCAGATATCTTTCATGGTATCTGAATGCAGTTGTGTCTGCCAGACTTCATCAACCACTGATAAGAAGTATTCATGATCAGTCCAAATATTAAAGAACTTAAATGGAATCTTACCACTGGATTCAGCTCTCCTAAGAGTGATCATCATGGGAGCATGATCTGAGATAAAAGGAAAATTTTAATCCACCTCCATATGTCCAAATGTGAAATCCATTCATCATTTCCAATAGCTCTATCAATCCTGCTAAAAACTCCATCTCCACTTTGTTGCTTATTAGACCAGGTATGGTAATCCCCCTTCCAAGGTAATTCACATAAGTTCAAACATTGCATGCAGTTTGTAAAGTCTTGAATTTGATTACTAGTTATTGGATTCCCATATAATCTATCGTGTATATTTAGGACTAAACTAAAATCTCCCTAAATAAGCCAAGGCTTGCTGATCTGTGTAGCAAGTTTTTGCAGTTGCACACAGAGAGGCTTTCTCAGCTCAATTGTATTAAACCTATAAATGACTGTCATGGCACAGTTCAGTTGATTCAACCTTCCTCTAACATCACAATGCATAACTTGAGCAGACTGGTCTATTACTGAAACATCATAGGAGGAAGGATTCCATAGTATCCAGACCCTTCCATTAGCAGCATGATCATATTTAAACCTTTCTTGCCAACCTGGCATTACCCTATTAGCAATGCCATCATCCTTATATTTTTTAACTCTAGTTTCTACTAAATCAACTAATTTGATATTATTCTCTTTGATATAGGTACCCAACTCTTTTGCTTATAACATTTGTTGGTACCTCTAATGTTCCAAACCAACCAAGACATCAGGTAGATTTGGATGTACCACATGTAGATGGTACTGACAAATTAGCCATCACTGCTACATTTGTCTGTTGGCTTGATCTTTGCTTACCAGGTGACATAACTATTTATGCATATTTCAGGGGTATGCCATTTATTTCTGTTACTTTCTTCCCTTTATCATGATTTTTTTGCTGGCCTTCTTCAAGAATTGGTTCTGCTTCTCTACTCACATCATCACATGTATTAAGCCCTTGTTGATTCAACATCATTGTCTTCCCCTGAATAACATTGTGTGTAGGAGCTAACACAACTCCTGTAGTCTTCCATACTTGCTTCACAGGCTATGGCCTACTTCTTTAGGCTGTTGAACTTGATTTACCTCCTCTTTGCAAGCCTTTGTGCAGTCATGACTAATTTTTAAGCACTTTATTTCCATGAAATCTGTCATAAATAAACTCTATGAACTTCCCCACTAATGCCCCGCATGGCGCATTGGAGAAGGTGTTTTCGTATGGGCCCGACCCTACTTTGTATAAATACATATAAAAATGTGATTTTATGGACTTTTGACACATCTTAGACCTAAGTAAGCCAAGGAGGAGGTGGAGAAGCAAAAACTCAAGGATTTCATCATTCGATCCTCAATCAAGACAAGGGTTTGGATTGTTTTATGCTTTCCTTTAACTTAAACATTGTTACTCCTTATCCATGGAGTAGTTCTCTTTAGGGTTTGATGGATTTGGTGTCTTGATACTTGTTTGTGGATAATTAACTCTAGTTCTTATGTATTGAATCGTTGTGGATGTTTTAACTGTTGCATCTATATTCATTTGTTTTGTAATCGAGACAGGCATAACTTGTGACATTGTTGCATTTTATTTTGTTGGTTGAAATCATTAATTCTTCTTAGTAATCGGAAGAGGATAGTTGAATTGTTGATTAAACTTAATTAGGAGGATAATCGAGAGAGGTTCTCCTAAATACCAATCCACTACGAATTCTTGCATATCTTCACGTGAGGTTGAGACTTAATCGAGAGAGAAGTTTCTACTAATCAATTAAACTAATAACCAAGTGAATTCGAGAAACTCACTTGAACATTAGAAGTAAATTATCTAGAGTTAAATCCCAAACATTTGTCTTGCACCTATCCTATCAACCCTATATTCTCCCAATTGATAACTTCCTTTGCTCAAAACTTGCATTGATTGTCATTAGTCGATAGTTTAGACTCTTAGTTAATTTTAGTTTAAATCACATAAATCTCCATTGTTGATCATTCCGGATAGTAATATAGATACAATTCGGAAATATAGCTCCCGGTGCTGGGAGACCACTTGGCGATTATGCTAGACCGGTCTACAACCAAGGCTTATCAAGTGTGAGACTACCTCCAGTTACAACCAACAATTTTGAATTGAAGCAAGGGTTGCTCCAAACCCTCCAAAATAGTTGTGTCTTCATTGGAAAGATGAACAAAGATCCAAACAATCATCTGATGAAGTCCTTTATTGTTATATCCTATATTTTCGTACATGAAAGTACGCCATGAGTAAATTGATATAAGCTCAGAAATGAGATTATTTTTGAGGTTATAAGTATTATGTTATTTCAAACAAGTGATAAGTAAATTCGTGAAGGTTAGAGGGATTGTCAAGAGAATCGGCTCAGGTATGTTGAGGCTATCCCTTATTTCTTTTTGGCATGATCAATACAATACAAACGAAACGAGCAAATGCACAATTTCTATAAATGACTCTATTCATAAAAATATTAGGGGTGTCTATATTCTTGATTCCAAATGTGAATTATTATTATATCTTCTGTTTATGGGTCTCAGAAAAATACGTACTTGATAAAATTTATCTGACAGACATATTATTTTTATGACATTCCGAGAAAATCTTGTTAATGTTTTTCTTAAGGCATATTATTTTTATGACATTCCAAGAAAATATTATTAACGTATTTCTTATACATTTCATGCATTTATACATATACATTGACCCATG